GGCCAGCTGGCACAGAACAAAGTGTCCTAGGTAGGTAGAGACAAGGCAGTCATTCCTTAGTCACCTCTACAAACAGGCATCTAACAGCTCTATGGGCAAGACTGTTCTGGTGCTTCAGGGAGGTACCAAGAGAGAAACACTGTGCTACAAACTGTCACAGAACTCAGAAAGACGCAAGGATATAAAATAGATGTGTGTCACCTGCGTCACCTAGAAGGGAGGCCAAGATGTTCCAGGAGAACGGCCCGGGTCGTTAAGAAAGCCACATTAGTCCCAAGCCTACGGCAAGGGAATCCTGCGGACGAGCAACGTGCTCTCCGTTGCTCACTCACTTCAGCAGAACAGCCTGTGGGTCAAGAGCACGCAGAAGGCGGAGTTCTGTTAACTACGCTGTGAGCTTAGATGCTTCCTGCTCCTGAAGCCTGACATTCATGCTGTGAAAATAACTGTTTCAGTTTTTCTGGGATTTTCAAAAATACATGAGGGAATGCTGCAGGATGCATTACCCAGCAGCGGCTTCTTACTGGTTGCAGTGACTATGAGCGAAGAACCAAACTCTCTTCTCTACCCGCCCCACAATGGTGCCTTTGATGGTGAAGATGGCAAAAATGAAGGCTGTGGAACTGCAATTTCTTAATTAACAAGGAGCCAGGAAGAAATACATGCTAAAAATAAAGCAGACTGATCTTCCAAGAAGAATGTAATTAGCATGCATCTCAAACATACACTAACAAAGAATAAAGCAGAGGCGGACAAGACAGCTTCTTTCATACTAGACCACAGCATTTCCAAATACTGGGTGAGTGCATTCCTACAGTGCTAACTCAGTTCAACAGCAAATACTAGGCCATTTCAGGCATGTAAAATTGTGAATCAGTGCTCTTTCCTATTTTCCAGGCAAGATTTTAGCGTTTCCAGCTTATTTACACGGGAGTACAAATCCCTAGACGTGCCCGCGAGGCCCTCGGGGCTGGGGACACAGAGCAGCCGGGTGTGTAGATGCACCCCGCAGCCACAGGAGTGAGCGCAGACAGCGCCCCGGTGGCCAAGAGCGAAGCCACCAAGGTACACGGTGGTTCAAGTTGGCCAAAAGGAACTCTGCTTCCTCTGCCAACCCGCTGGCCAGTACCAGGCTGCTACATTCTCTGGGGATTGGAAAGATGATCATGAGATAAAACTGAAGGAACTCTGATGACCAAAGCAGGGCAAAACTCTGTCCACAGCTGTCCAGATCCCACGGCCGTAAATCGTTTCTCTACTTCCTTTGCCTCCGCTACCATGTGTCTTTCTCCTACTGCCTCGAGGGGCTCTAGATTCCTCTCTCGCCACAGCTCTGCTGCCTACTTCTGTCCATACTCCTTTCAGAATGCTGCCCCACAGTACCCTGATGTCCCCCTCTGGACTCCTGCTTTTGTTCCTCCCCAGAACGCCCTGTTCAGGGTGCCCCCAGGACACATCTCCAGGCACTGCCCTCCTTCATGCCCCGCCTACAGATGGTTTCCCAGCCCAGGCACTGATGCCTGACCCATTAGGGGCCACAGGACTCAAAGCACAGAGGCATGGCCAGGAACGTGACCACAGTACCCTGCTTGGAAGGTACTCCCTGCCAACCAGGCAGGTGAGAACACATTGGGCGTGACCTGCCGGCCAGTACCAGGCTGCTACAGTCTCCTGGGGACTGAAAAGATGATCACAAGATAAAACTGAAGGAACGCTGATGACCAAAGCGAGACAAAACTCTGTCCACAGCCACAGATCCCACGGCCATAACCGGCAGGAACAGAAAGAGTCGTAGGGTCCCCATGCCCTACACAACAGGTGAGCACTCCTACTATAACTGAGGTCGCAAGTGATGATAAAAAAAAAAAAGCATCTGAAAGGTTGTAACTTTCCAACAGGCAGAGAAGTCTCAG